CCATGGTTACTAGCAATACCAGCTTCAGGATGACAACATTGCTGGGAAGTGGGGGAGACAGACCAAAAACATAGGTCCTGATGACAGTTTCACCTGCTGGGTCAACCATCCCTAAACCCTGTGCTATTCCAGGATTTCCTGTCACCCGAAATAATCAGGTTCCATATTGCTTGTCTATTAATAGGAAGTTGCTGCTACTTTCAGTTGAAAGCAGTTTAATTGGTTCAGCTCTAGTTTTGCTGTGGAATTAGGGTAATTTGACCAGGCTTTGGCGAACTGAGGATGAGCAGCTCACCAGCGAGAGGATGAGGAAGAATAATCCAGAAAAGATGTGAGAAGCACAAAGAGATGTGAAGTATTGGTGGGTGTGAGAACTTGATAAGATGGGCAAAAGGACAACTGGTGTCGATTGATAGGAGATGAGTGGACAGGTTGGGCCATGTTTCAAAGGATTTAGACTTATGCACAGTGAGAAATATCAAACCGTTTTCAATAGGGGAAATACTATGATCAGATGGGTCTCCAAGCACTTGCATAGTCCTTCTTCTTACCTGCAATGAAAGCACAAGACAGCAAAAGGTAAGAGAAACAAGAGGTAGGAAAAGAGCAAATTTAAGGATTAAAGTGTCTTACCTATAACCTTATATTAATATGGTAACATACATATAGTTTATGTGTAAGATTATATAAATATATACACATATAAGTTTATGTGTTGTGGGTGTGCATATAACACAGAAACAGATGAAGCGTTGGACTATCCAATGTTATTTAATTTGATTGTGATGACTGTTTGCTAAGACTCCCTGCTAAGAAAGAATCTGTAGCTAGAGTGCTGTTATTATTTTGACAAGAATCTTCCTGTTTCCCTAAGAGAAAAATCATAGTGGAAACGATTTTTGAGCTATGATTCTGGATTCTGATGCCACATTTATTATTGACCATGTGACAATAGAGTAAAACTTCATTTACCTTGCATAAAAAGAATTTTGTTAGCTAGATGATCCTTAGATCTAAACTATCTTAAACATATTATTTTATTACTATATTGGTTCTTGTTTTTTATTCTATTTTTTTATTGTGCTGGGGGTACATTGTGGCATTTACAAAAGTTCTTACAATATATCATACTTGAATTCACCCCTTTCATTATTCTCCTTTATCTCCCCTCCCCCCATTCCTGGAATAGATTCAACAGGTCTCATTTTTCCATTTACATACATGTGTACACAGTATTTGCACTATATTCACCCTCCTAAACCCTTTCCCTACATCCTCCCCCACCACTGGTACCAACCCTCTAGATAGGACTGTTCTGTCTCTCATTCTGCGATTTTGCAAAAAAAAAAAGACATTTTTTTGTTTAGATAGCTACACAAGGAGTTTCCTTGTGACATTTCCATGTATATATGTATTATAACCCAAATTGATTAATCTCCTCTATTTTTCTTCTTTCTACCTTAGTCCCTTCTTATCATGGTTATATTGTTCCTGTGACAGCTACTTTCCTCTCTCCCTGTCTCTCTCCTCCTTCCATTTCCTTTTTTCTTCTTTTTTTCAATTTTCTGTCTTCCAATTAGGTATCTCGATGAGACTCTGAAGTTTTAAGTAATCCCCAGGAAAATTTGCCTATACTCTACTTAGCTTGAAGTGTGTGTGAATTGCAGATTAACAGAAAACCCACTTACAGTGGCTTGGACAAATGTGGGTTTACTTTGCTCCTCTTACAAGAAGTCCAAAGGTAAAAGGTTTGCTAGCATTGGGCTCAGAGCCTTGACCCATCAAGGACATTACTTTCCATACTTCACGTTTGGTGTGAGATGATGAAATAGGAGGGAATTATACCTCTAGAAGCATCTGTCTTTTTCATTGGGAAGAACAGATTTTTCTATCAGTATATCCCTGAGTTATAGCCAGAGCAGTGTCATGTGGTCACCTCTGCAGTAAGGGAACCTGACAGATTTGCATCTCAACTTTTGCATACAATTTTAAGTGACTCAGAAGTTTTCTGAAGCCCTTTCTGTTGCCAGGTTCAGAATCCTGATTTCAAAAGTGGATCATGATGCCTGAACCTTAGCTTTTAGATTGTCACTTCTCAGAGAAAACCAAACAGATTTCTAATAATCTGGTTATTTAAAGACCATCAAGTGAGATAATGCATTATGAAAATGTTTTGTAGACAGCAAAATTCTCTTAATATGAAGGGGTATGTCTACTGTGAGATGTGTTACCCATGGGTCACACATCTTAGTTTGTGCTTGCATTGTGTGTGTGTAAATTAAACAATAAGTGAGGGTGGTGGGGTGAGCCTGTGATCCCAGCACTTGGAAGCCTGAAACAGGAGGATTGCAGAGTTGGTGACCAGCCTGGGCCTGTCTTAAATAACTAAATAATTAATAAGTAACAGGTAGGACAAAAGAAACACACACACACACACACACACACACACACACACACACACACACACAAGCAAATCAGTGCCAGGAACACACAGAAAATATTTTATTAGCTTCCAGATTGAGAAACGATAAAGGAGAACATATTTCAATAGAAATCCATGACCCTCCTCAAAGAACCGACTCTGGCATTCATGGCCCCCCAGTCACGATAGTGCCTGTATTCCCCAGGCCTCAGCAGGTACTGCCGACCCCGATAGTTGGGCATCTCGTAGAGGACCCAGCAGCCCTCCAGCACATTGAGGGAGTAGATGTCATTAAAGTGGAAGCGGTCCTGGAGAGAGGGGCAGTCCTCAGTGATCTCCACCATCTGGCCTCTGTAATCTTCCTTCTCATACAGTCTGATCCTGTGAGAGCTGGCCTGGTAGGCCCACAAACAGAAAGAAGTAAAAAGCATCAGGGAAATAACTAGTTAGTGAGATTCAAGCCATTTCAAAATATATGGCAAACTAAGCAATTTTAATACTTAGAAACTTCTCATTACTAAGGGCAGAGATCTAGTACCTTTCCCAGGTCATGCAGTGTGAGTGAATGAGCTGAGGACATCTCACTCTTTAATATATTCAGATATTTCCCAGAACCACCTCCTATGCTCAGCAGCACAGAGAAATGCAAACCTCCTGCAGCTTAGTATAATTTTTTTGCCATTTTGAGGAAATGTTTGTATATTAAAATAAATATATTAAAGTGTAAATAAAATGTATCTGAAATACATTAATATAAAGATATTAAACATCTTAAGTCGTAGGCAACATTTTTGCTTAGTCAGTTTATAAGTATGATTTGTAAATATATAGTATAAACTTATAAATAAAATTTATAAAAGTGGGAAAGTAAAATTGGTAAGTCCAAGGACTAATTTTTGTATAAACTAAACTTTAGTGTTTTAAAACACATATGAAATACACATGCACAAGTGTAAAATATCTGTGTTGTTCTCCTTGATGGAAAGTACTTTTATTTGTAGAGGTGGAAGAAACCCAAAATATGCAAGCAGGAAGCAAAAGGGGAAAGAGGATTTAAAAACCATTTCACAGTATGCCCATGCCCAGTTAACTACCATGATACCAGGTACTTATTCTTTGACTAGGTATCAGTGGGTTTTCTACAATTCCATTCTAAGTCATTCCAGGACAAGGGCTGCCAAGACGTTCTAACTCCATAGATACTTGTTGATAAAATGGTATAGGAGCAACACTTTGCTTTCGTGGGGTGCAAACTGTGTTGAACTAATCCACTTTAGCTTTTGTGGATCTTTTCCTATCAGAAATTCTCCAGGATCACCCCTACTTTGTTGAACTTTGGCTGGAAACAATCCCAGCAGGGTCCCAGGGCCTCAGTCCTGGTGAGATTCTGGACTCACATAGGGGATGAGGCGGCAGGAGCGGATGGAGTCGCTGAGGCCCATCCACTGCTGGTAGTCGGGGTAGTCCCCGCGCCGCAGGAAGTACTGGCAGCCCGAGTAGTTGGGCTGCTCATAGAGCATCCAGCAGCCGCTGTCCACGCGCACCGAGTTGCAGCGGCTGAAGTAGGGCTGCAGGTTGGCGTGGTCGCTGCTGCACTCGTAGTGGCGGCCCTGGAAGCCGAGGTCCTCGTAGAAGGTGATCTGCAAGGCAAGGCGAGGCGAGGCGCAGGCTCAGAGGCCGGAGCCGGGCCCGGGCCCCCGTGGGCAGGGTCCCTCCCCGGTCCCAGGTCCCAGGTCCCTGGTCCGCGGTCCGGGTCTCCGGGCCGGGCGCCCGCTGCGCTCACCTTCCCCATGGCTGATGGAGGTGGATGTGCGGTGGGGTGCGGGCCGCAGCGCGCGGTCTATATAGCGGGAGGGCTGCTGCGTTGGCAGGAACAGCACAAAGGGGCCCGCGGGGGCAGGGGTATTTCCGTGTTCTCTTTTTTTCTCTTTGCTGTCGGAGTCCGTGGGGCTTATTGTGGGTTTTGGTCCCATTCTCTCTCTGGAATATTCGGGTTGCTATCACTGGCTGATGCTATTGAGATTGTTTGAAAAAACGTAATTTGGGACATTGTCTATTTAATAATAGGAATAGAACTTCGGCCATTTCATATATTGTTCACACTTTTATTTGTATAGTTGGGAAAATCAAAATAGATTAAGTGGGGGAGCAAAAAAAGAGTTTTAATATGATGGATATAAATTAATCTGTAAGACTCACCATAACACCTATGTGTCCCAGTCTTGAATGTTGATTGTAAACACGAAGAAAATGGACTTAATTGAAAGTAGAAAATTTCAAGCTAGTAGTTTCGAAGCACTTCAGAAATAAAGGGTGTAAGAAAGTGGAGCGTTTTCCCAAGTGAGTTCCCAGAATTTCATACTTTCAGTATGGTAAAAAGCACACTCGACACAGATCTTCAATATTGGTTTTGACTTTTGTTTCAGTCCTGTCTGAAAGTAGACTGAGAATTAATCTCTTTCTCTTAGCTAGTTATGGTTCTGGGATTCAAAGGGAAAAATAGTTTTAAGATACTTAATCTTAGAAAAACTAAAAGGAAATGTCTGAGTTTGACAAGATAAAAAACTAATACATTTAAAATAAAAAAGCAGGTTACTTTTTAGCTTATAAAGTAAAAACAAATTCCCAAGAAACACAATTCTGGCAGGATCTAGGGTATTCTGTTCTCTGGTGAACAAGAGTAAACAAAGCCTTTCACGCAGAGGAAATGAATTGTAGAAACACAAAGGGGAGCTATGGCTGGAATGGTGTAGGGAGAGGAAGGAATAAATGTCTAAAGGTCAAGACTCTAGGAAGACTTTAGAAAGTATTTATTGGTCTGGAAAAGAGTTTGATGTACTGGAAAGAGTACTGGAGTGGAAGATGACCTATGTGTCCAGCCCTTTTCATGTTCAAAGAATTATCCGCAGTCTATGTCAACCCATGGAAGGGCTTTATCTTGACTTTGAGTCAGAAATCTTTCTGAGTTGGTTATTTATGAATTGAACTTAGTTGGCTATGTGCAATATAATGATTTCAATTCTTATTTTCTGACTTCTGGCTTTCTGACTGTGTAGGCATATATTACAAAGTTACTTACGTTTTGATAGTGGAACATAAGCAGCCAGGCTAATACATAAAAACCACCATTTTTATTATGATTATTTATTTTATTAACTTTTATTAAAAATTTAAAATAATGAAAAATACTTTTAATACAATGTGGTTTTTCTCAAAGTTGTTTCTGAGTCTAAGGTTCTGTGGGAAGAGTGCACATGGATGGAAACAATACAATGTGAGATGTGGAATTCAGAGTCACAGAGAGCACAGTCAGTAGGACTCAGGGAATGAAGAACTAGGAACCTTGAAGAGCATCATGGGGCTGTCTTGGGATCACTACCTCTCTTGGCATGCACTTACACCTAAAATTAAGGACACATTTGGAGAAGCCAAATAAATGGATTTGAGCAGGGTTTTGTGGGTTTTGGTTTTTGGTTTTTTCCATTAGGCAGGAAGAGAAAAAGCTTTATTTCAACGTAGGGCTGAAGAAACAAGGAAAACACCCAAAATTTCTTATAAATCTGAAGAGCTAATGGCTTGGGCCAGAATGTGGCTTGATTTAAATGCTCTGTAGAAAGTTTCAGAAGTGACAAATGTGTGTAACTTGCCCCAAGTTGTGCTTGGTGCTAGGAAAATACGAGTAAGGCCCAAGAGCTCTGGCAGCTGAGGCACAGAGCTCTTCACAAGTTGTCTGGAATGATGGATGAAGATTATCACTAAAGGTGGAATAGAACATGAAGAGCAGGCACTATTGTCCTGAGCTCTATCTAGCCATCTTTTAACTATTTAGATGGCTGTACATCATCATCTTAAGTGAAGTAAGCCAGGTTCAGAAAGCTAAAGGCCGCATTTCTCTCTCATATGTGGAATATAGGCCCAATACAAATACAAGCAATATTATATATACATATAAATATATACAAAGCATATACCCAAAAGAGGGACTGGTAGAAGAGACTAAGGGAGGAATGAAAGATAGTGAATATTGAAATACATCACATCTGTGTAGGAATAAGACACAATAAAATGCACTGAAAATTGTTGAACAACACAGGATGGGGGAAAAAGGTGTAGAAGGGCAGTGGAGAGGGATTAGATTGATTTAAGCACAATATATTTACATATAAAATGCCAATGCAAAAATCCCACTGAACAAAGAACAGATATCTAAACAATGAAGGACAGGAATGTAAAACAGGTCAAGATAAGGGGGAGGCTCTAATGGGAGGAGGAGGGAACATGAAGAAAGTAAAGAAGGTGAATACAATTGATGTAGTTTCTATAAGAGGTTGAATGTGGAACAGTCAAACCTGTTGAAATCACCATAAAATGAGGACTAAGTTAGAAAGAAGAACAATGGAGGGAATAAGCCAATTCCGGGTATAAAACATATATACATGGAAATGTCACAGTGGAACTCCCTGTGTAGCTATCTTAAACAAACAAAAATTTCTTTTTTTTTTCAAAAACAGAAATCAAGAAGGTAAAACAGGCCTTGTCTGTGTTTGGTACCAGTGGGAGAGAGGAGGGCATAAGGAAAAGGTAAAGAAGGGCGAATATGTTGGAAGTATTTTGTACTCATGTATGAAAATGGAACAATGAGACCCACTGAAACTATTCTAAGAAGGGGAGGAAGGGGCATAAAGGAGAAAGATGGAGGGGTGAATCTAACTAAGATATAGTGTAAGCACTTTTGTAAATGTCACAGTGTACCCCCTGTACAACCTTAATATGCTAATAAAAAATTTAAAAATTAAAAAAATATGTGACTTCAAACAAAAGTGATGGCAAAAGAGAATAGTTCAGGTTAGGGTTTTTCTGTATGTATGGTGTACACATATATGGTGCCACACCATTTCATGGGGGTTGGGTAGAAAAGATGCTTAGGGAATGACTATGACATCCACATTGATAGCTCTCCCCAGCTTTGGCAGCAGCTTTGAAATGAGAACTGGTAACTTAGAGGGCTGTGGATCCAGAGATGTGTTTTGTTTGGCTGGCACAGGTTTGATGGACTTTGTAAAGCTTTGGATTGGGTCACACTCTTCACAGTTTGCTATATCCTCACCATTCCCTGCTGTCTTAAAGGAGGTTGTTTCACTTACATCATCTGCCTTGCACCTGAAGGCATTGACTTGCATCTTCAAACAAAAGTTTTCAAATGCTGCTTCGTTTTCACCAGCTGAGAAAACTATATATCAGGTAATAGTGTACAAATATTCTTTGTTAGCCTGAAACAGGCTTTATTATGTATTTTTTGGTGGGGAGAGACTTGAGTGTGTGTGAAAAAGTTCTTTGTACATGTCTTTTATAAGTGATGTAAGAATAGATGGTGCTTAGTCTTTCATCTTGTATTGTTTTTATGTTTTAAATGTCTTTCTTGTCAAAACAAAAACTGGCAATATTATGTTTCCCACCTGAAGAAAATTGTTCTGGGAAATATTAAATGTTGAAAACCACTTGACTTAAATAAGGTAAAAAAATATGGTAAATATTTGTAGTGGTAGATCTGCTTGTCATGATGCTTCCAAATCCTATTCTAGAATAATCACATTAATTATTCCTATGTAGAACTCCCCATGCTAGGACAACAATAGAGTTAAGGATTTAAGATCAGCTTGAACTGGGGTCCTATCCTTGCCTCTAACTAGCTGTGAGAATCTGGGTGTTATGTAATGGAGCATCAAATTTTTAAAAATTAAGGTTGTAATTAATAGACTTTAATTTGCCAGAATCAGAAGCGCTTATATAATTGAACTGTTTTTGCCTTCAAGATAATGTTCTTTACTGCAACTTCTACTGTGAAACCTCCATCCATGACTTTTCATATTAAATGAATAGTTTTCTTCTCACTGGAAACTATATTCATTGGAGATGTTGTTCCAAAGGAGAGAGAAAAAAAGAAGTGTTGTAGAAAATTAAGGTGTATAATGAAGTATTAAATGAATATGCCATCCCAGAAAAACACTTTCCTTCCCAAAATGCTAAGGAATAAAAACACATAACAAAAGGAACATGCAAATAAATATTATTCCATTTATTTTCCCTAGAAGTTTTTAATGAGATGATTTAAATGTACTTAGTGGAAGTAATAAATAAAAGAGATTAATGTGCATTATTTAGGACACTTTGTAAGTTCTTGACTTAAAAAAGATTATATCTTCTATGTGATATTAGTATTTAGCATTATTTCTATGTAGAGCTCTATGGGCTAGAAACAATGTCCTTTGTTAGTTTTGTTGTGTTATCTTCATCAATGCTACATACAGTAGGCCTGTGGTAGGACCTCTTAGTACTACCTCTTAGTAGTTAATCTTTGGGCAGTCCATTAAAATAAAATATAAACATGTACTATGAGCAGGTGTCTCACAGTTTTTTGAGGTGTCCCTATCTTTTAAAATTCAATGTGTTATCTCCTTAATGAACAATAATGCAACCATCCTCAGTAAAAAAATATAGCAAAACTGAATTAAAACACACATAAAAAAAGATCATGCCACCCTGAACCAAGAGGGCTTCAGTACCCACAAGGTGAGAGAGGACATAGGAGTATGCACTACACATACGGAGAGAGAGAGTCATACATAAACACATTAACAGAAGCAAAGACCAAAAACCACATGATATCTCAATAAATGCAGAAAAAGCCTAAGTAAGATCAACACATTTATGGTAAAAGCTCTAAGAAAACTAGGAAAGAAGGAAGTACCTCAACATATAAAAGCTATATATGACAAACCTACAGCCAGCATTATACTTAACGAG